ACGTGAAAGAGTTTCGAAACGCACCGTTCCAGAGGGTTTATCAATATCTTAAACTGTCAAATGAAGGAGAGAATCTGGACAGTTTTACGTTTTCGCCAGGAAATGTTGATGATGATCAGAGGACATGCCTTATGCTCCTTCTCAGGTTTGTTGCACGTAGCTACTTGGATGCTCTAAACCCGCTGACATATAGTGTTAGCGGACTTTTTCTTTGCTGAAAGGTACATTAACAATTTAAAAATAGAATGCGAGCGCTTTCTTGTGAGGGTGACGTCCCTTTTTAATTTGTTGCTTAAGACACAATTCAAACAATAGCAAAGGAAGGATATCTCTTTCCTGTAGAAGGTTGTTTAAACAATGTGTTTGGAGCCCGTCCTCCAGGAGCTCACAGGAGAATCGTTGCCAAGCGGAGCTAACCGAGCTCCTGAAGCTCGCCTAGACTTCCATGCCAGAGGCTTTTGGGAAAGGCAGAGGTCAGCGTTCCTTGACGTTACGTTACGTTCCTTGTACGTTACCCCAACGCTGATTCCTATAGAGACCTGGACCTCAAGCAGATATACAAACAGCACGAGAACAAAAAGAAGAGTGATGGACGTGGAATAGGGAACATTTACGCCATTAGTCTTTACAACAACAGGTCGCAGCAAAGAAAGGGGAGGACTATGCCACCGCTGTCTCTTGGATATGTTCTAAAGTTTCCTTTGCCATCCTTAGGTCGGCCCTGCTCCATCTTAGAGGGTCAAGAACGGTTAAAAGAACAATTTAAAATAATGTTCAAGAAGCGGACTTTGAATTAGATAAGATGCATTGCCAAAATCTAGGTCCTGCAATTTTTAATATCTTTTTCTCTTATGTGTAAAATATAGTTTCATGGTTAATCGAGTGTATTTTAAATATGTTTAAATGTAAATTATGCAATTACTGAAACGCTCTTTTAGCTTCCTTGATCATATAAGTGATTGTTATTATTAAGAATTATTTTGGTTTGAAAGCTTCAGTCATTCTTATTTAAAGAATTATTATAGCTGGATTTTGAGCATTGTTCATTGAATTTATAGATTGATTTCACATAGTATTTAGGCTTAGCTTTAGAATCGAGTTGTGTAAAAATGTTAGATAATTTTATTGGCTGAATGTAAATAAAGGTACAATTATTATGTTTGGGTGCAGCTGCCATCATGTGTACTTGGTACTGTTTCCATTACAGAAAATGCGGTATTCCTGATCCGTCCTGGTCAGAGATTCGTCATTTTGTGAGTTTCTTGAACTCACAGCTCCGAGATTGTGAACAGAGTTTTTACTGCGACATGCAGCTGATGAGGGTTGTTTTGGCAGGGCCCGATGTGCTGAATCTTGAAGGGTTCCGCTCTTTTGTTGTGCGCTTTATGATACAAATGTCAAGGGTAAGCTGATTCTTTAAATCTTCGTTCACTCAAGTTTCTCATAGCGTCTGGCTGACTCTTCGACAGTTCCAGCGATAAATCGCGTATGTTCTTATCTTGGTATTCTAGAGGTAATATGTGATAGTTTTTTTACCACTTTACAAAAGATATTTAGAATGGCGGCTCCGTAATAAGAGAAAAGTTAGAGGATTTCTCTGCATGAACCTTGGCTTTTATCTCCGTTTTCATGGAATGTAATCTCGCTATCCATGACGAATGTTCTTGTGGTGGACAGTCAAATCCCTTATTGAGTAACGAGACAAGTTTTTGGAACTAAAGAACTGGGATACTTTACGCTCGTTTATACCTGAGACTGGGTTTTAATGTATTACCTTAATAAGTGGAGCATCTGACTTTTTATTATATTCCTTGGTGGCTTTGCAGCAGCAGAGAATACCATGAAGTGTTTCCTTTCCTTTCAGGATTTTGCTACTCCATCTTTGACAG